TGAAATTAAGGTCTGAATAAGGACTACTAGACTATGTCAGTAATAATATCTGGTTTTGATGTAGTGCTTTTCATGATACATCCCAAAGCAATTTAGGAAGAAAGAAAATATATTTTTCATTTTGTAGAGTCGGGAGGTGAGCTGACATGCTTAGAATCATCCTGCAAACAGATGAATGACTAAAATAGTTTTGGAGTGCTCTATCCATTAATTCAGGCAGTTCAACTGGCTATTTGTTTGGAATTAAAATGTCTGGGTGATGTTAGATCAGTGAATTTGTAGGTCTCTAGTGCTATGAAGAAGCCTGAGTATACAGAAAGAATCCTATCAGAAGGAAATTGTTAAGCACCCTTGTTTGGGAATACAGTAGCCTAGCAATGAAATACGTATTTTAATTATCACTTCCTTATATGTTAATATATCGATGGTATACTTGTGTAGGCATATCAAAAGTTAAATTCTGCACATAAACTCTGGAGAACAAACCAGAATTCTGGATTCAAATGACCCTAAATATAGAAGTTTTCAAATGCCAGATTCTTATCCAGATCTGATTATTTTTGTCTGTCTGTAGTGGAATGCTTGAAATCTTTGTTTCTCAGTGCAATTGAAATTTTGGCTTTTCAGAACGTTGATCTAAACTTCACAAAATCAGCACAGCTATTAATTTAAACATCTGAATCTAATCACATACAAAATAAACACAAGGTCATGAGTACAATTGTCACAGTCTGACACTTTTAATTGACAATGTGAACCACACATGAAATGTAAGCAAGTAAATGACACAAATCATACCCAACAAAATGAACAAGTGAATTAAATGTGAAAGTAAATAAAGCAGGATTATGACAGGAGCACTTCATACTGTGTCTGAAAGGAACTGATTTTGTGTTTTCACTTTGAAATCCATACTGTACTGAAGTTAGATTCATGGTTGATTTAGATGTGCATTTGATTCAGTGTTGAATTTTAGCACCTTAATGTCTGTGAAATTTGTAATCTAGTAAGGTTTTTGAGTAGTCTTTGTGATGTTATCTTCTGTTCTTTCAATGTTCTATTTGGTATTTTAAACCATGTATTTGGTTTTGGGTGTATATGTTAATCTGAAAATTTAATCAGCTGAGTGGCAAAAGCAAGTGTTTTACTCAGAGATTTAAGTAAGTAAATATTTATACTGTTTACATTTCTTCAATGAAAAATTCTAATCTGAAAAGTAAGGTAGTTCTACATTGGCTGCAGTTACACTTTTACAATTGGCAATATTTCTTCTAAAAAGAGGCTCAATGATTTGCTTAAGTTTTCGTAGAGCCACCCTACAAAGAGGATGAAATAGTTTAGGCCTAATTGAAAAAAATGGAGTGGAAACTTGAAGTCGTCAGTACTCATGCCTCATAATTTCAGACCATTCTAATACGGTATGCTTTTAATGGATTTTTAAAGAGCTACGTTGCTTCTACTAATCATGAAACTAAAAGCAGTCCTGCAAGAATGGGCACCAGCTGATTTTAAACTTGGAAAAGAATTTGCATTATTCAAGAAAAGCTTGAACTGTTGAACTGTTACTGCAGCTGCTAGTGAATAATATATAAATAATCCATTTGTATATGCAGTACAATGCAAGAGACATGAATCTTAGGGTAAGATTTATCAGTTGTTCCTGTTGATGTGTATAGAAAAAATAGCCTAGGTACCAGATACTCATTCATTTTCTCAGAGAAACAATGACCTTAACGTCAGGGGAGGGATGGGGAGGCGCTGGGGGGGTGCCTAATAACTTTAATTTACTCACACTGTCTTTTCATATTTGCTTTTTGTACCAAGGTTCAACAATAGAATCTGTACAAAGATTATTTGTAGGATATGATTTCAGGCAGCAGTTAAATAATTGAAGTAGTAATGACTATCATAAGATCATTTTAAAGGTCTGAGTATCATTCAAATTAAAAAAAAAAAACTTAAAAATAGAAAGTACTTGTAAGGGGGTTGTGAACTCTCAAAGATCTCAAAGTAATAGAAGAAACATTATCATTTAAGTCATTTACTGTGAAAGCAAAACACTTCTGATTCCATTCTGCATACATAGCCAAATCCAAGGGCAACTGAAGCAACTATGAAGATTTCCAGTGTTCAGCCAGCTTTGGATCATGCCCACATTATGAATTTCAGCCCTTAGATAGTTTCTCTCTGGTATACCCAGAGACATGTTTATGAAGGTAAATTCTCCAGTGTCAACAGGACTGGCTTAATTTAAATGAGTAAATGTGCAAAACCAAATGAGAAAATATGGTAGGGAAAAAGGTGATCTGAAAACCTCTGTTTGTTCAACACTGACAACATTGAAAAATAGGGTAGGCTAAATCATTTATGAAATATCAGCTGCAAATCTAAAAAGCCTAAAGGAAATAATATTATACATAGCTTAGTTATTACTGAATACAAGTGCACTGTTTTAGTCTAAGCTCAAACTTTGGTTTTAAATAAGGAAACAAAAATATTGTTGCTGTTTTGTATTTCAGAATTAATAGTATCCCTTTACCATGTAATTTTGAGGCAGACAGTGACAGTAATGGAGATACTACAGCACATCTGAAGACTGCTGTTAAAACACTAAAATATACTAAACCAAGTATTAGCACTAACCAAGGAAAAAAGCAACTATGAAACATTACTTGCATGGCAGGTGTGAAAAACACGTTCTTGTAGTCTATAATTTGATGCTTCCAGAATTTCTTTTTTGCAGAATATTCTTAGGTGAAATATGGTAGCTTTGAAATTGCTGCACGGTATTTCACAACTATCTATAAATTTGTGTCTCTAGCCCACTCTTAATAGTCTCTGTTCAAAATAAATTTGTGTATATGTGTGTGTATGAGGACTGAAAGCAATGTTAGGCTTTTATTCTGATGAACTTGCTTCTGCCTTCTTTCCTAGGAAGTGTGTAGAGAGCTCTGGTGCCTCAGCAAAAGTAACCGCTGTGTTACCAACAGCATTCCAGCAGCTGAAGGTACTCTGTGCCAAACAGGGAGCATTGAAAAGGGGGTGAGTACAAATAATTTATTGTTTGAAGAAGCAATTTATTGTTTAAAGACTACAGGAAGAAAGAACTAGAAAATTAAACTACTTATAAGCAACTATAAGAGTTTGAAAAAAGAGTTATTATTTCAGAATACATCTGCATCCTAATAGGAGTGTCCTACGAATTATTTCATAATTATTTTATAGTTGTAATTTAATAAAACATATATCCTTGCTATAAAATCCTATAGCCTGGATCAAAAAACCCAAACCCTATTACATAATCTCGGTATATTTTTTGAGTGATTTTTGTAAAACTCCTTAGATTAATCTTTATTAAATTTTATAGCACTCTTCCATAAAGGACTGTTAAAACTCTAGGTCTGGCATGGACTTTGAAAATGCGTAATGTAGATCTAGAGCCAGAACTCTGTTGTTTTGTTAGAAGATAAAAAAAATCTTTATTCCTTCAGATATAAGCTGAGTCACACAAGCATTCAGAAAAAGTGTTGCCTTAGTAAGAGAGTTTTCTAAAAGTGCGTATTTACCAGTGACCTTTCTGCTTTGAGTTTGAATTGTTCTTCTAGTATTCAGTTATCCTTGCATAATTGTTTGGATTTAAAGGACTTTGCTGTGCAGTCTGATAAACTCTTCTACCGTACACAAAAGTACAGCAAGTCAACGTTGCAATAGATAAGTCTAGTGCTACTGTATCTGTCTGAAGATGTGAATTTTGATTTTAAAACAATGTCTGTTTCTTAGTAGTTTCAGACAAAGTTCTGAAACTTAGTTTTAGATTAAAAATAGAAAAGAATGTTTCTCAATTACAAGGCAAAATCTATACAGATCTTAAAGAGGAGGGAGAAATATTTCAATTAGTAATTTACAGGGCATGTACAGGGAAAAAAAGTGGATTCCATATGCCTTTTTTCAAGATAATATATTTTATGTAGGTTTGTACAAAGTGAAGAGGGCTTATTATATTAAATAATTTCTGCTATCTGACCAAGAGTTGGTGCATCTGTCCATAAGTTTTACTGCTCCAGATTGGATTTTTTCCTAGCAACGACAACTGATACCTATTCTCATTCTGACTTTTGCCTTGCTAGCTGGGCTAGTTTCAACAAAGGTTACACTGTAGTTTGACTTGCAATCTGATGTTTAAACTAAAAAGAATGAAAGCTTTTGGGCAGCTGTCACAGTTTATTAAGGCTTGTTGATGGCTTCATTCAGGGCCCATGATCTAGCATTGTTCTGATGGCTTTTCCATGCTGAGTTTGGAAATATTGGTAAGCCATGTTAAATAAATTCATTGAAGGGGTCATTTAAAAAAGTAGAGCACTTAGAGTTAGCCAATGAAAATAGAGAGACCTTTGCATTCCACCAAAAATGTTACCTTTTATTAGAGTAATAGAAAATGTTAGAATTCTTACTCCTAAATCAACAGTCTAGGTTGATTTTGGAATCACCACTCCTTATCAATAGCAAGAAAAAATTTACCTTGATTTATATTTTTTTGAACTGTAAGACTACAATGAGCAAGTTGAGATGCTTTAAGACACTGTTTCTGTGCCCACTTGCCAGAGGCTTCTGTAAGTTTGCTCGCTACAAAACTTCTTATTCCCATCATCAGTATCTTGTTCCATCCTTAGATTTTAGAGGGAAACAAGAGAATCAATACTGTTTTACAAAGGTAAACTGTTCATGCCTGTTAACAACTAAGAATTGTATCTGTAAACTGCAGCTTCAAAGGTTCATGTAAATTAATAGTTCCCAATAGCAAAAAACCAGAAATCATGAGCTCTTTCCAAATATGTAGTTCTCTTTACAACATGCTAAGAAGAAAATAATAGGTTACAAATCTATAAATAATAATAATAATTAGTAGTAGTAGTAGATGATTTATATTGCAGTCATACCTAAGGGCCACAACCAAATTAGGCCGTACTTTGCTGGACTGTGTCCAAATAAAAGAAAATTATGTTCTCTGCTTTAAAGGCCTAACAGAATCTCAGAGTACTTCATCTTATTTGGAGGATCAGTTTCTGCTTTTAGTTACACTAATGTAAATTCGGTGTAACTATTAACTCAAAGCAAAATTTGATGCACTGTGCATTCATGTCTTACTGGCAGAGTTGTGAGGGATTTCTACAATTAAAATAGCCTAACACTCTATTATAAAACCTTCTTTCAGCTGCTTTTATAAACTTGACAAACTTTTGACTCTTTGGGTGGAAATTTTCCACAGTAGATGTCTGCCTATGTCCAAAGGTTTTTAGAATGTTTTCTATAAAA